AAAAGGAAAGCTTGATTCGAACAACTTTCAATCCATCAAGCATTTTGAAAACTTTCGCTCAACGTTACCTCGAGGAGGTCATGCAGCCGTTCAAAATTATAAAGAGGTTTGAATAAAAACGTAGTTGTAGTCTGTCTTCAGCTTGCCGTGACGATCTGAGGTGATTTTGTAGCCTGCGAAAACAGCTGTTTCTACTCACTCCTTGCCGCAAGGGATGTTTCGCAGTAAAGACTGACGAGGACAGTACGCTTGTAGCCTACGACGCTGCAGGAAAGCTCGCCCTAATTTAAAGGGATAGCTTTAGTGGAAGGGTTGTAAAAAAAATCGCGGCTTTCACCCAACGAGGAACAGATTTAGTCTTTGGAGTAAAATTTGCCTTCACACTTTAATCTTCAATCCATCGAGAGGACAACGATTGATTTCTCACTCAGTCCCTCGGCAACAGTAGATCATAGACTTATCAGAGCGCTGTAAGTGGTAGTAAGCGAGAGCGTATGTGTCCAGTCATTCAGGGGAGTCGATCCGGCCTTTCAAAGAGCCCTTTCGTAAACAAAAAGGTGGTAATATAACTCAAGGGCTAGTCGCCATTTTTTCCTCTCTGTATTGAGTAGCTTGCACTTAAATTGAGGAAACCTATGCGTTGGTGCCTTCGGTCTCTTGAATATTTCTGTATTATTCTGTACTTCCCTATTATTACTGGGACCTCGCAAGTATCGCCTTTCTTTTGTGCGCTCACGAAAGGAAAGTAATCGTCAGGCCTTGGCAGGCTACTGCGCTGTGGCTCCTTTACGCTCTCTCTACTAGGCCTGTCCCGATTTTGCTCGATCGGCACCTTTTTAGCAACAGTTTTGAGGTTCTAGCAACCTTAAGCAACTTTTGCCTTTCTGAGCAATTTTTGAGCAAAATACAGGAGAACATTTCAAGCCCGAAAAAGTCGTTGACATTTTCATAGAAAACTTCAATTTATGCGAATTTTCTTGAATATTTACCCACCCGTTTGAACACCTAACTTTTTATTTCACAACGTTTCGCCGGCCAAAAACTGGCATTTAAACATGGCTAAGAGGCTTCAAACCGGCAATTAATGTAACACAAGAAAACGCCCAAGTTACAAGAGTAATTCGATGCGCATTTTGCTAATTTGTAAAGCAAAACATATTTCTCCTATAGCGTGTTATAATTTATTCTTATGAATGAATAAAATAGGGTAGTGGGCTGTCGGCACCTAAGAGGCCAGAGACCCCCGAGGAGGGGGTATTCCCCTATATAAGCTGACTACAACCGGGCGGCACACCCCCACCAAGAATTCCTAGGAGTACCCCCGGGCCTGAAACGCGTTCAGCACACAAATAAACACAAGAAAATACTTAAGGTAAACTTAGAAGGAAAAATTTAGATTTCACTCAATTATAGAAAAAGCAAGCTATTTTTCTTAACCGATGTTAGCACTTATTGTGAATTAACATTTACATAAAAATATCAAGACATTTAGGCAGCAACTTTTGAAATTTGGGTAGCAACGTTTTGGATTTTTGGCAATTTTTAGCAAGTTTTTGGCCTTCCAGTGAGCAACTTTTCATCATTTTACGAGCACAATCGGACCAATCGGGACAGCCAGGCCCACTCTCTAAGCTCACTAAACAGAAAAAAGAGGGTCGGCAAATATACAATTTCTGTGAAGATTAGACGCTTTTTCTGCGATTTTCTCAGGGGACTGAAGCATCTCAAAATGTCGTGATTTTTGTTTTTCTTGGGGAGGGTAAGTCGACCTGAATAGGGAGGGGGAGGGGGAGTCCAAACAAATTGTTTACCGCGGAGTCCTGGGTCCCGGGCAAGGTGTCTCAGAGTGAAATATTCAAGATGGCGGTCCATTTATCTGAGGAAAACGGAGCTATTTTACATCTCTCCGATGTAGAGAAAAACTCCAAAGAATTAAATGAACGTGGAAAAGATGCTTTGAAACCTCCAACCGCATCTTCCAAGATCGAAATATTGTGCAAAACGCTGGCGTTCCTCATTGTTCTTTGTTTGTTTTGTATTCATCTCGCGCGAGTTCTTCGCGAAGGTACGGTACCGGCTTGCTATTTTATTAGATTTTCTGTGAATCAAACGCCGCTGCTTGTTTACATAATTATTAAGCGTTTTTTTTTTCATTTTATCTTGTGGTATCGCGATATTCTGGAATTCGCTGTTCATTGTTTTGGACACGTGTCGATCGCGATCGAAGATTGCCCCAAAAAGCAATTAAGCTTATGTATGAGACTTTCAGTTAAATTGCTTACATATAATGACTGTTCTAAGTATTTAGAAAAACGCTAGCTTAAAAACATAAGTCAATTTTTAAAAAAAATGTTACTCCGGAATGTTGTTTCAATTGATATATGTTTAGTTAGTAACACTACATTAACGAGTACTTGACATGAAGCTTCAATAATGAAAAAGACATGATGTTTTATAAGGGAACATAACGGTCATCTCATTTGGGCAATTTGTACCAGTCGTATAAATATCTTCTGTTAGGAGGTTGCTCTTTTCCCTTCTTATCTTTTTGTAAGCAGCAAAAATTTTCTGCATTTCTTTGCCAATGCTTTTTGCCAGGAAAAATCTCATTTCCAAGCAAAGGCTAAAAGTACTTGGTCAATAACATAAATATTTATTTGGGCCTTATAGGTACATGTGGGTTTAGCCGGTGTGGGGAGGGGGCTCGGGTTGGTCCAAATCCTGTTAACCTTTACCCCTGTTTTGGACATTTAAAACCCCAAGTCAATTTTAGGGTCCACTAAAAAATGTCTTATGCCCCCTCTATTTCTTTTTTCAGGGTTTTCACTAACAATTCTAGTAGTGGGTGAAAGGATGTGACTTAACAGGAGAATATTGTGAAAGAGGCTCTATGTCTGAATAGAAAATAGTCATTGGCTATCGCACGTTAGCCAGAGAATTCAGATTTTTCTGTATAGTAAACCGAGAATACTCTGTTGCCTAACGAACAGCCTGATTTTTCAAGGGATGTCTTTTTGAGGCTCATGCCAAAGTACATCATTTTATTTAAACAGGTTCTGATAACTGTCCCAGTATGTTTCGGTCTGGACGTTGGAGAGGAAGTTTTTGGCAACCACATGGGTGTATGCTGCATTCATATATGTCAAGGTTTGTACACTACAATACACTGTGCTCAACAGTAATTATACAACAAAATGTGGACCTAGGCTGGTTTTCACTAGCGACAGAGTCAGAGTCAAAATCATAAGCGGAGTTGTAAGAGCGTTTATATCCTTGTGAAAATCAAATATCGGTGTCATAAGCACTAGAGTCATAAGCTTGAGTCAGAAGAAACAGAACTTTTCCATTTTCTTTCGATTCCGCTTATGACTCGGTCATTTACTGAAACTGGTGACAACCAGATTGTTGAAGTCAGAAGCAGAAGCGGAAAGATAAACAGGGTTTGCAAATACGCCAAATCTGGCGTATTTTATGCCAAAATTGTTCAGATGTCTCCACTGAGGTTATGGAGGGAGTCACTTCTACTCCAAAAATTTTCTGTAACAAACAGGGAGCCACTTTGACTCCAGAAATTTTTGGTAACAAACACAGTTTTGTCCTTACCTTTTTCGCAACGAATACAATTTACGTTAATTGTAAACGTTGTAAACCTTAATTAAATCATCAAAATTAAAGAATAAAATTATACTGCATGACAAAACAGGAAGAGGGTAAATTACGATCAAAGTTTACTCGATGACCGCTATCATGGATTTGAGCTTTCCACGATAGTGTATACACATTGGGACCACATGCTGGAAAGTCTGATACTTGACTCCAAATATTCCAAAATGACTCCAAAATATGTGAAGCAGAAGTCACACTGACTCCACTCATCAATAAAATTTGCAAACCCTGGATAAACCAATCACAATGCACGTTCCTACACTTTGAGATTGATTTAGTTCTTTGGCTTCTGCTTGCGACTCTGACGACCCAGTTTTCAGTCAATTGTAAACGACAGAGTTGTGAGCGGAATCAAAGCGCAGTTTTCTTGAGATTGTTAAGTCTTATGCTTATGACTTCAAATCTTGTGAAAACCATCCTTTAATCAGCTAGGTTGTTTATATTGTTATCAACATTATGAAATCAACTTAATATCTTTTCATTGTTGCAGTGAATTGAAAACATGTTTACAGAATCATCCTGTTGCATTTGTTGGTGATTCAAGAACCAGAGGGTTGTACTATGAATTGGTGGAAGCAGTCAGCTTAAATTCTGTCAAAGACAGTGGAAATGCTGTAAGATGAAGACATACATGTAATAAACATCACTGTTTGTTGATTAACCCTCTAAGTCCCAATAGTGACCAACATCAATTTTCTCCTAACAACATCAGCAGATCATCAAGAGTAAAGGTTATGAGAATTACTAAATTGATGACCAAAGGGAGAATTCTTTGATCTTAAAGCAAATTCTCTCAACTATTCTTAAAAGAAATGTATGGAGATCATTCTGGAGAAATTGTATGTGGATCTTTGGGCTTAAAAGGTTAAGAGACTATATCATGATGATATTGCTATAATTATTATAATTATTTTAGGTCAATTCTGTCATAACTTAGTGTCTTTACCTAAATACAAATAGGCCTTTTGCAATAGTTGGTTACCCATTTTAGGGCTCAAATTACCTGCCATAAATAAATAAATTAATTAAAAGGAGATTTGAGGAAGGTAGTGCTTTAAGATAATATTTCTTGACAGTTTGAACATTTCGAAATTTACAAGGATTTGTATGAAAGACCATTTCAGCGTGACTGAGCGGCAAGACTTGTTTTCCCCATACAAATCCTTTTATTTTCCGGCGCCCTTTGCAATCGCTTCTTTTGAGATATAAGGCTGAAACTTACATGTTACCTAATTTACTATGCTCTTTAAACCCGTGATAACAAAATTTTCAAAAGCGAACTGTTTTCATGTTTACAGAAAGTTGATCACGTGATCAACTACTGTAAAATGCCTATTGCTCCATTGCGGCGAAGTTCACAGAAACACGAAAAATGCCGCGAAATTCGGTAGAAATCTTATCAAATACATGTCTGTACAATATATTTGAAACTTATTTCAGCTATAGGGGCTATTTACTTGGCGTAAACTTGCAAATTTATCTCGGAACTTCGTCACTGAAACGTGCAAACAGATTATGTTGCGAAAAACTGGGCACTAGCCATGATGTTAAAGGCTTTGCCATTGGTTCATTTCTGGAGCGTATTGTTGTTGAAAGAGCAAATGATGACCTCTGTTAGAAAAACGTTAAAAAGGCTGGTCTGATCAGCGCAAAACCGATCAATTTCTAGCTTAATTTGCCTTGAAAATAACCACAAAATCGGCCGTTTTTTACCGATTGCTTTTCGGTGAAGTTTACCCCAAAAACTCCCGCGAAATTGGCCGATTTTTCCGCGAATTTGCCCCTAAAAATCCCGAGAAATTTGACTTTTTCTTCCAAGACCTATCAGAAGCCCTGCTAAGAAGACAAACCCTTTGCATCAGCAGAAGGGTGTACAAATTTCTGTCCCCCTAAAAATGAAAATGTCCCCCAAAATTTTAGCCAAGGGGACAAATTGTCCCCCAGTGATCAAATCCTAGCTCAAACCCTGTATTTTTTTTTATGTTGAGCTTAAAAAGGAAAAATACAATGGGCTGAATACAACAAATGGCAGTGAATATACTGTTCATGTGTAATGTATTCTGCAAATGAATTAGACTGCAAAACATTCTGTATTTTTGCATATTCAATTACGCCAGAGGAGACAAACAGAAGGTCTGGAGCAAGGCTGAAAACAGAGAGCAAGACTGGGGAGAGACGCTAAGGACAGTCAGTTTTTTCTTCTCTCACCTCACACGCCCTACAGGTGTGTGAGGCTTGCACATTTTGCACGTGTGAGATGCTTAAGCTATGCTAAACATATTTTGAGAAGAAAACTGACCCTAAGATGACCTTGTCTAATGCAGTTAAAGCTCTTAGTATAAAGCTACTCATTAAGTTTGCACCAGTTAACCTTTGGTAAAGTTCTAAAATTTATACCTTTGGGAAAGTTGTTTTTTCTTTTCAGCCTAATAACTTTTTATGTGATTGTGTTTTTTTTTTGCAGCATACTGATTTATCTTATATTGACAAGTCAAGCAATACAAGTGTGGTATGCTAAATATATTTTCAAAATATTTTAATGGTATTTAAAATATTTTAGCTGAGTTTTATTTTATGAAGTAATTTTAAAATTTTAGCCTGATCACCACTTTTTAACTGTATACAACCCTGTTCAAAACATCTTGGGACACTCAAGGACATTGGGTGCAAAGACACATTTTGCTAAATGAACTCATTACATGTATATTGTACCTCTGAAAAAAGCAAGGGAATCTTTTTATAAGAGCCTATTTCTACTAACCCTCCCTCCCACATTTGTGTCTAGTGTTGAAACAAAACTTAAATGCATGACTTCAACACTGCACGAGGGGGGAGGGGGAGAAAATGTGTCATTTTGACATACTACAGCTGTATTGTATTAGTGTCCCAGGAGTTTTGACTTGGGTTGTAGCTTTTCTTGATAAACAGCTAATTAGTTTCTGGACAGAAAATGAAGTTATTTTTTATTTTTTAATATATCTCAATATTACTGTAAAACCCTTAAAGGAGCTGTGTCATGAAATTCAGCCAAATTTGGAAATTACAAAATGCCCGTTAAATTAAGAGAAATTAATAAAAATAGCCACTTAAAACTTTAAAGGAAGGTTAAAACAACATAACAGAAACAACAGATGCCACAGATGGGCAAAACTGAAGAAGATTGAAACAGATTGAAATTAGGGTTTTTGAAAACTGTTCAGCCTAACAATTTTTCAAAGTTGGTCCCTGCTGCTTGCAACTTCAAAAGTAATGCTCAGGAGACATGTTTGTTTGTCTCGGATCTCTGATTTTGTCATTTACATGTAGTTTCTTTGCTTACTTTAAGTTCCATAGCGATTGAGGGCGAGTAATTTGCAAAATTAAACAAAATGAACTGGACTGCCGTGACACAGCCCCTTTAAATCCTTAAGACTTGCGAGGCCAATTGAGTCAGTCTCTATTAATTCTTTTCTAGTCATTTTATTGGCAACCAGAAGTAAATCTTTCTATGAAGAGCATATACGATGAATGGATAAAGGTAATATATTATTTTATTATATAAACACCAATGAAATACAAGGTGAGATTTCATGCCAAAACTTGATATCTTCACAGGTGAAAATAACATGTTATCTTCACATGTGAAAATATCACCGTTGCTATAGCTACATAATAAATTGCGCCTTTCACACCAAAAAACTATTAAAGAGAAATGGTTTGGTATTTCATTGGTGTTTATATAATAAATAGAACATTACATGACCACTTGGAGATACAAAATTTCTCTTTGAGTGTTGAAAAAATATTTCATTCGTTTGCTGCGCTCACTCTTGAAATATTTTTTAACACTCAAAGAGAAATTTCGTATCTCCATGCGGCCATGTAATATCCTCTATTTATTTTATTACCATAATATGAAATTAGTTGTTGATTAATTTACGACAACAAATAATGAAATGCTGTAATGTCTATTAAAGCCCCTGGCAGCCTTGTTTATTCCCAGCATGTTGACATTGTTTTTTATAATAGAGTGAGCTAATATTCAATTCCACTGTCCCTAATTATGTTGTTAGGGTGAAGTCTTACATGAATAGCTTCTTTTACCCCACAAAAGTACCAGTGAGGGTGTTGGTCAATAGACTTACAGTCAAACCAGGAAAACTGTGAACACCAGAAATATTTCTGGAATGTTATTGTGTGGCAGAAAAAAAGCCAATCAGGTATGAGAAAACTGAACCACAAGCAAGAACTTAAATTAGTTTGTGGTTTTGTGGCTAGTTCATATCTCCTGATCTTTGCTGTGATTGGTCATAACACATTAAACATTCCTGAGATATTTCAAGTGATCATGGTTTTCCCGGTCACACTGTAACCTCGTCCCAAAATGGATGATACCCATTCTTATTGGCATGTTCAGAAATGGCTGAGGTTTGAGTTCCTGAGGGTGTCACATCTGTCTAGTTCATTTTGTCAATTGATTGCCAATTATGCTTCCTTATGCACTGTGGAACTTGAAGTAAATGAAGAAGTTACTTGTAAAAGACAAAATCACCGCTTTTTTCATGTCTAAAAAATATACTTCCCAAAACAACAAAGATGAAGTTTGGAAATTGTTAGGCTAACAAGTTTTCAAAAACCCACAATTTTAATTCATTTTAGTCTTCTTCAAGTTTGTCCATCCGTGCTTACTTTTGTAAAATTTGCTATGTTAGTGATACCTTCTTTAAATGTTTTGAGTGCTTATTCTTATGTTTCATTCAATTTGGTTTCAGTTTCTACTGTTAGAGTTTTGATAAAATTTGTGACACAGCTCCTTTAATACCATCCATTTTCTACTCCTTAAATCTGTTCATGCATACACCTTCCCATTTCACCAATGTATATGTTTCAGGTTAAAAATTATTAAATTGAGGGTAAAATTTTTTAAACTTTTAATTTTCAGTTTCCTTTCTCCCCTAGCCCTAATTCATCAATAATTAGGGCCTGGGGCCCGTTTCTCAAAAGTCCTGATAATTAACAGGCCCGGTAAGTTCTCTCTGTTCACATTTAAGATCAAAGTTTCCATAGTTTTGCATCTAACATGATACAACTATCAGTTAATGAAACAAAATGGAGTAGTTTGCTAGCCAGGACCCGCACTCTTATTCTTCATATTTCGATTTGAATATTTTATTTCGGGCCTGAAAAGTTACCGGGACTTTCGAGAAACAGGCCCCAGGAGACAAAGGAAACTGACAATTCAACCGACGTTAAGTAAGACATATTTTAACCTGAATTTAATTTGACCAGTAACATATACATGTACTTTTCCACATTTTTTTCCATTTAATTTAATCACTACTGAATCTTAATGACTTTTAGATCTCATTTACTACAATTTATAGTATGGAAAATGCTGTTACATGGCATTTCCTTTTTTCTAGAATCCAAAAGAAAGTCCACATCTGATCATTACAGGCAGTGGAGCGGTGAGTGGGGTTTAACTTCAGTTGATCCCAGTGGGGGAGGGGCACTCCCTTATTTGGCCTATACGGGTATGTGCCGCTGAACAGGGTATGGTTTTCAAAACAGGGTACACAATTAACAAATTAATAAACAGAGTATACAATTTCACTATTGAGCATCTTAAACAGGGTGTCTTTTTGGACTGGAAGCCTTTCAAAGAGTGTAAAGACTTGCAATGAGCGGTCTACATTTTGTAACACCAATAATTTTCTTCCTAAACATCTATTTCACAATTGTAGTGTAAAAAATTGTGTAATTCTGTATGCAAAACAAAACAAATCAGGGTCAGAAAGTAGTGCCTCGTGTCTTAAACAGGGTAGCAAAATGAGCAATTTTTGTCTTAAACAGGGTCAGGGTTTGAAGGCCTTGGCGGCACACCTCTACCCAAACTTCCCTTGAGTGAACCCCACCCCCCCAGGAGTTGATAGATATAATTCATGTTGTAACAAAAAAGGGGGACATTGGTAGGTTTAACCCTGTTAGCAGTGATTTTGTTACAAATAGTTATCATGATTCCTGGGACTCATCTTGAGAAAAATCATGATTCCCTGTCCAGAACCATCGAGTCCCAGTTCAAAACCAGTGAGTCCCTGGGTCTTTTGTAACCAGACAGTAAATCTGAAGACAGACTCTGACTCTAACGCCGAGGATATTGACATTGAAAATTAATCAAAGAACCAAATTTGGAACACTTGAAAATCCCATGTTGAGTTTATATGATGTGATCATTTTCTGATTTAATGGGATAATAAAACAAAATATTTAGGGCACGACTTTCAGTGAGCAATATTCAAAATAATTGCCCCCTTTTGTGCATAAATAGTAATAATCACCCCCCCTATTATTCGAGGAAGTATGGTAGGTTGATTTTTAATTTTCTTTGTCTTCAAACTCTAATATTATTTATGCTTCAATCTACCCACAAAATGGCAAACCTTACTCAGAATGAAATACGTGCTGTGCTCTGTTCGAAAAGGCAATACAAACAACATGATGGAGAAAAAATGGCAATGTGAAATTCTGCACATCGCCGGTTTATTAAACTCTTAAAATCCAATACAAATACAACTGAAACATTCATTAAACATGTATTGCCGGCGAAGGTGAGGGCAATTTAACCGCCTGAAAAATACAAACCATAGAACAAGGAAGAGGCAGGAATGGGGAGGAGGAGGGCTGAGGAAAAATTTTTGTGTGTCAACGAGATCAAGAACGCGACATCCATTATACGACGATCAATAAATACGACATTACCTAAAGACGCCATCTTGAATTCAAAATTCAAATCAGTACCCTCGATTCCATGTTCCATATAATGCATTTATGATCGTGTTAATTGGGGCTAATAGGGGTGATATTTATCTATTTTACATCATTACAGTGGACAATAAAGAACCAAGGCTTGGATGCAGTTATGAATTATGGACGTAAGTCTTTTAGTAGTCAGCTACAAAACCCCAGTATTATAGAAAAGGAGGCTGTGGATTTAAAATTTGCAATCTGCAATTTGCCGTCTAGAGATCCATATCGCTCATCCAAATCTGTTAACATTGACGTCAGAATTCATGCTCAGAGTGTGTTACCATCGTTAGTCTGTCCCTCCTTTAAACTTAACATTGAACAAGATAAAATATGCAAAGCCTTGTCAATCAAGCAAGAAACTGAATGATCTGTATCTGATTTTGATCCTTTTTGCTAATTCCTAGTATTATGGAGTAATTCTCATAGGGGGCATCTGTTAGATCTATTAATGAAAAGTTTAGCAGCATAGAGGGGGAGTTTATTAGATAAAAGGCGTTGTGGGCGTTTAAAAGGTCATTTATGAGTTCAGCTTTTCACTTGGTTGTTCCCTGTACCAAATTTACTGCACTCAACTCCTAAAGAACACCTGTAGGCTAAAATGTTTTTGGTGGATGCACAATGAAAAAAAAAATCAGGTCTCGAAATTAATGGTTAGTACTTTCCAAAGTTTGGTTACTAAAAATGAGCCTTAGTAACCTGACATGGTTAGTAAAAATGTCTGTCATAGGAAATGTGTTTCTTTTCTGCATAAGAATGTGTTTCTCAAACAATTTACGTAATTTTAGCCAACCCATCTTTACATTTGCCGCATTTATTAGCGCTGTTTAATCACAGATTCTTGGATAATGAACTTTATAATTTGATTAGTAAAATTTATGCCCACAAACCAGAAGGGTTAGTTAGCCAAAAAATTAATTTCAAGCCCTGAAAATTAAACTTGAATTTAAAAATTTTCAGATTGTCTGAAAGTCTCTTGATGTTAAATTGATTTTATGCTGAGAAAAAATTGTTTCTTCTTGGTTCAAGCTCTGGGCTCGAGCTGACTGGACTTTTGCGGGGTCTGGTTTAGGGCTAATAAGACTATAATGGGGTTCAACAATTTTTCCTCATGCACACCTCTCCATCGCTTTATTCCAGAGTACCCCCTAGGGACAAATTGTCTATTCATGTCTGTCAAGTAGGTGGTCTATCTTTTGATGTTTTCTTTACTTGTAATTTTTTTTTTGATAGAAAATTTAACCAAGGTGAAAAGTTCAATGGAGAGTTTGGTAGCAAAGAAGAGAAATGAAACTCAGAAACCAAAGATGCTCAAGAAGTCAAGTCCTTTCCCACCACCCCCAGTGATCATCTGGATCCAGCAAGGTACGTAGGTCATTAATAGAGAAAGTGTTTCCCAAACAGGGCTGTCACCAAGATTTCAAGTAGGTGGGTAAATTCAACCAGTAGATGAGGAATCAAACAGCTAAGAATTTGTTTTGGTTCTATTTTTCTTCTATTTTACCATGAAAGTAGCCAGGGGCCACATTCGTAGTAGCCCGGGGGAATCCCTGGTCCCTGCTTCTTAATAACAGCCCTGCTGAACCACCAGCAGTTTTGCAGAGGTCTCTAGAAAGTTTGAAGAAGAAGGAGAAAAAAGTCATGTAGGCAGGAATACATAACATGGAAAAGTGCTTACGAATGTGGTGGGAAGGGGGGGGGGGTAGTTGTGGAAAGGGGCATCACCTCCTTTATTCTGAGGGGTCTGGGGGACTTGCCAAAGGAAAAATGACCCTGAGGGGTCTGGGGGAATTCCCAGGGGAAAACTTATTCCGAGAGGTCTCAGGGATTTCCCAAGGGGAAAATCATTTTAACTGGTCTGGGGGACCTCCCAGGGGCAAATAATCATCTATCAAAAGTGTGAAAAGTGTGATGATCCTGTACATCCCTATTGAACTGGGTGTGGTAAAATTACAACATCTTGCTGAAGTAAAAGTGATGTTTAAATACATGGAATGAAAACCAACAACTATTTTCAGCACAGTATAGTAACACTGTTCCCACATTGTTTTGGACCGTCACAACGTTGTTCTAACACCATCATCCTTACAGGTTTTATCGTTTCCATTCTTTTGCAGAACCAGTTGTTGAAGGAAAGCTTCACCCAGCTCGGAAAGCGATCACTAACGAGAAAATTGAACTCTTCAATTCAATTGTATCAGAAATATTGTAAGTAAATTGACTTAGAAAGTAAGTGAGACCTACCCATCAGGGAGTCTGAAATGTCATCCATCTCTCGCCCCACCCCCCATGGGACAAGACAGACGCCAGTCCCTGGGTTTAAAAATTTCGTCTTCATCTGTTGGTCAGGCTATAATTCCCACAGAGAAACTTCACTTTGATAAATTCCACCATGCGTGTCACCTACCATCGGGGGGATCCACGGGACCAAACGTGCCCCAGTAACTTGTCGAATGTCCGCTTTCGAATACATCCAAAACAAAACTAAACAATTTTAAGGGAAATGAACCAATTACAGTAACATCACGGTTTAACTGATGGACGACCCATAACAATAATCTAACTGACCAATCAGATCAATAACCAGAGTTTTAATACCATCAACTGACGTGCTACAACTCATTTTGACTCTGAAGATGGCTACCGCACTGGTTGTTGAAACGTCAGTCACTGTCAACAACAGTCCTATACAGGACTATGTTCACCCAAACGATCAAACTCAACCTACTTGTAATGTAATTACAATTGTCTCTTTGCTTCAGTCCAAGGGAAAATTCATCCATAACAGTCATGTGGACTTCATTTTATGCAGCTTCTAAAAGACCTGAGGCCACTTCAGATGGACTTCACTATGGAGAGTCAATCACGACCTTGGTAATAACAGATATTTAATTCATGATTTAATAGCCTGACCCTGAGAATACAGCCGTTTCTCCCCTTTCTTCGCCGCTAAGAACGTTTCGCAGGAGAGACACTCCTGCTAAACGTCGCTGGAGGCGAAGAGCGAAAAGAGAGGACTGTATTCCAAAGCTAGTAGAGAGTTTAAGTTTCACGTATACCGCAAACGGCAAACGTCAGATTCAGGTTGAGAATTTCTCAAAATAGAAAATGAGCAGATAAAAACAGCTCAGAAAATTCTTATGGATAAAACGTTGCGTGAAACTACTAATTTATGTGTAGAAATAATAAACAGTAGGCGACAAGCAAAGGGGAAACGTGTTCACGTGGTACAAATTCGCGTTTGACGTTTGACGTAAACGTTATGCTTAACCTCTCTAATTAATTGACCCTTTAAACTCATCGCCAATTGATGAGCTTGGGAACTGGTGCCTAAAAGGTTAGCGGCGGAAGCCAAATGCGAAAAATACAGCAAGCAGGTAACCAAGGCAACCCCGGAAGCGGGAACCACCCCTGCCAGCAGCCGCTAACTGGCACCGTCACACTGAGAGAATACTCAGTGGAAAAAATACTTGCCTGCGCACCCACACATGACAACAGGAAGGGAGGAGAGGGAGCAAGAACCCGCAAAGATTCGCCAACACAAAGCAAAAGGTGATCCGCAAGGATCAGCTAGAATAGCTTGCAAAATAATGCAAAAGGATAGCAGCCCCGAAAACCCCAAGTGGGCCACCCCGCATGTCACGCATGCTAATACGGGAACACCGCTGGCTGCATTGGCTGGAGGTTAACTTAGCCTAAATAAAATCTAGCCACATTTAAACCCCAGTACGTAGTGATGGCTTAAATTTGACAAAAAAATCAAAATTATTCTCCAGTGATGGACAAATGGTGCCAAATGAAAGCACTGATGGAGAGGTTTCATTTGAATGCCCACAATTCGGCTGATCATAAATGCTGTTTCCATTTCAGGAACTGGACTTGATATTCAATTATTATTGTAATCAGTACCTTCAAGTTTCTGATGCTACTTGTTGTATGCCTTCACCAAGATTGACACATCTTCAGCGCAATACATTTGCTGTGTTTATTACTTGGTAAGACAATCATTCCCTTTTAGTTTATGCCCTCCAATCTTTAAGCGAACTTTGATACAGTCCTTTAGAATTCAACTCCAAAAACACGTGCCAAAATTTGACGAAGTAAACGAGATGGAATAAGTGCGATAAAGTTTGAAGCGGTGCGAATTCACTTTTTAAGTAACGTTTTTGTAGCCGTGACCGTCGTTGTTGCTTAAGCTCTCCATTAGGGACCTTACGAAACTACAGCGGCGACGGCAACGGCAGTGTAAAAAAGGAATGGGTTTAGTCAGCGAAACAACAACTCTGCACGTGCATCACGCTTTTTTGTACATTTCTTTGCCGTCCCTGCACGACTACGACGTGAAATGACCAAATTTTAAGTTATTTTGAGGACGGGAACGGCAAGGCGATAAATTCTATCATCTCTGTCTGAACTCGGGTGCGGCCCCGTCTCTTCAGCTCCAACATAAACCCCCTTCTTTTAAGTAACTGGACGACTTGGGATAATCGCGAAATGGTTTGAAAGGATGCGGAGTCTACTTTTCAGCGAGGTTTTCATGGACGTCGCCGC